CCATGTTCTGGAGACCATTTTGGCCGAGTTGGAACTACCAGAAGGAGTTGTTTTACTACAATATGTGGATGACATCCTGCTAGCAGGGACAAGTTCAGGAACGATTATGTCCGCTACCAGAACGGTTCTGCAGTGGTTACAGGAAAATGGCTTCAAAGTGTCTAAATTGAAATTGCAGATTGGGAGACAGAAGGTGAATTTTCTGGGGAGAATTGTGTCACCATCAGGGCAAGCTATGACTGACACACAGAAGTCGTCCATTTTGCAACATCCTCGGCCCACGACGGTTAGAGAAATGATGAAATTCTTAGGACTTGCAACATGGAGCTAGAATATTATACCTGATTTCTCGGTGCAGGTGGCTCCCTTGAGGGCGCTAATATTGGGTGCAGGCTATAAAAACTACTCAAAGCCTTTGGTGTGGACCCGGGAGGCGGAGACTGCATTTATTGCCACCAAGCAGGCCATGGCCAGCGCGGCCACGTTTCACCCCCCTGACTACTCGAGACCCATCCATCTGGATGTTGTGAGAAGAACGGATTTGTGAATTCCGTTCTGTTTCAAAAGGGGGAGGGTAACACAGATCGTAAGGTTTTGATGTGCTATAGTGGTAAGCTGGATGACGTGGAAATAGGGCATCCCTCGTGTGTCAGAAACGTAGCTGCTATTGGAAGAGCGTTGATTGAAACGGCCCATATAACAATGGAACACCAGACTGTTGTGCACACATCGCATGGAATAGTTGCGTTCTTACAGTCAAACGCGTTCACACTTTCCACGGCAAGACAATCAGTCATTGAAAATTAAGAGATAAGGTTGTGTAAGATTTAAATGAGGAATGAAGGTGATAAGGAATTAGGAGAGTTGTTGTATATATTGTCCATTTTTTGGATTAATGTTTGTAGTTTTTCGAGTTTTCTCCTAAATTCAGAGATGGGCGGTAAATTGTTGAGTGCTGCTATTGAGTGTATAGTGCACGATACACTTGATACAGTATCTTGATGATGGAAGCAAATGTCTGATCAAAGGAACATTTATAGCACCAGTACACGAAATATGGAAACTTGTTACAGACGGTCATCCTGTAATGTTCAACAAGTAGTACACCCTTACATTTGGATACGCTAACCACGAGAGGTTGGTGATCTATCAGTAACGAATGAATGGATTGGATCAAACTGAGCATGAGCTGAGTTTTATCTGCAAGTAACAGACATGTCTCCCACCCTCTGCTTTGCTTTTGGGCTGAAGAGCAATAAAAGTGGACATTAACACTGAAGGCTGGACTTGGAAGTTTCCAAGTTGAGGGCAAGAGGTATTTGTTGGTATGCGTTGATCCTTTTTCTAGGTGGGTGGAGGTGATCCCCACAAAATCAGAAAGAGCAGCAGACGTAGTAAAATGGCTGACCAGAGAACTAATACCCAGATTTGGTATTCCAGAAGTCATACGATCGGATAATGGTTCACACTTCTCGAACGCTGAACTACAAGAAATAGAGAAAACGTTTGGGATCAAGCATAAATTTGGGGCAGTTTATCATCCTCAGTCTCAAGGGCTAGTTGAGAGAGCTAACAGAACCATAAAGGAAGGTTTGGCTAAAGTCTGTGCTGAAACGAAGCTGACGTGGGTGGCAGCCCTGCCAATAGTGCTGTATGGGATAAGATCATGTCCTAACTCTAAGTTAGGGATAAGCCCCCATGAGGTATTAACGGGAAGAAAGATGCCTTGTCCGTTAACAACCACTTTGCCTACCACTGTCAGCCCATTGCAGTACCAACATGTGGAAACATCTGACTATATGAGAATGTGTAATAATACTGTGATGAGTATCTCTCAACAGGTGACAGAGATCCTTTCTGAAGATGAAGGAGAGTGTGCACCAGTGGAGGTGGATGACTGGGTACTACGTAAAGTAGCCAGATTCAGTTGGACTGATCCCCGCTAGGAAGGTCCATACAAAGTTGCAGAAGTAACCACGCACTGTGTGATAGTGTGCCGAGAGGGGTACCTGATCAATACAAGTTAACGGATCAGATAGCGGCCGGATGGGAATCATTGTTCCTTTTTATAACTGTAAACAAAAATGTGGATCGACTAAATATGTACATTTCAATATCCAGCGGCTAACCAATATGACAAGAGATGCTCTGGAAGGGGTGCACAGCCAACTATCGGCCACCTCATTGATGACTTACCAGGACCGGATGGCTTTGGATATGTTATTAGCTGAAAAAGGAGGAGTGTGTGCGATGTTTGGCCAAGCGTGCTGCACTTTTATCCCCAATAACACCGCCCCAGATGGATCCTTTACTAGAGCATTACACGGACTAAAAGCCATGTCTGTTGAATTAGCTGAACACTCTGGTATAGACGGCACCGTCGGTAATTGGTTTGGTAAATACTTTGGACAATGGAAGGGCTTCTTCCTGTCAGTTTTTCTGACCTTAGTAACCGCAATAGTGGTTTTTGCCCTTTGTGGATGCTGCTGCATCCCCTTTATCAGACAACTATGTCTCCGATGCATCACCTCTGCAATAGATGCTAAAATACCCCTGCCATGCCAGATGGCTTTGTTACATGAAAGGATCCAATTGTTAGGGCCGGAGGAGATTGGAGAGGAGATAGGTATGGTAAGAACCGACTTCGAGGGACCTGAAGAAGAAATCCTTTTAGGTTCAACATTCCTGTCCGCGTGATCTGCTAACTGTTGCACACATCATATATAGTGGATGCATACACGTAGATGGTGTGATATTTCTAGGCTAGGATGTATTCTGTGTCTATTATACTCGGTTTAGATTTTTTGTACTGTTTAGGGATTTCCATGACTGCTGCATTCACCCGTATTCACTGATATAGATATTTAGCGTTTAGATTGGTGGTTTCTTTTGATCTTTTTTGGTTTACATAATGAATTATGTAAAAAGGGGGAATTGATAATCAAAAGTTATTTTCATGGGCTTAGTTGGGGGTTTTGCTGTCTTGTCTTGATTTAAGAGTTAGGTAAGGGGTAAGCAGGATCTGCCAAGCAGGCAGACACGAGTCTGACAGGATGGGGAGTCAGTTTATGTCCTGGCTGAGGAATGTAAGGTCTGCGGGTCAACTAGAAGATTTACCAGCCAAGGGGGGTTAGAGACACACCAACACTATTCAACATACACACTACAATTACGATGTTTACGTTAAGCCAGGAGTCTGGACATTGGATGTGACCGGATCTTAGATGCGGGAGGTGGAAGGTCCTCCTCTACGCCAGTTTAGGGCCAATAGAAATATTTCCTTCTCTGTCTTTCAAGGGTTATAAAACATGATGTTCTTGCTGATGTTAGTGAGTTGTTCTTCCGGCCTGTGTGCTGCCTGAACTGCTCCTGCCTTTGCAAACGCAGCGCTGATACTTGACCTGTGATCTGACAAATAAATTTCCCAGAACGAGAGAAGTCATTCGGCTGAATTTTTGATAACCCCGACCAGGCTCCAAATCTTGAACACGTATTCTTACAAGATGGAGGATCCTGATGACAGAAAAACGGATGGCGAGGAAACCACTGGCCGCAGGAGTCCTGCACTTTCAGATATCACCGCGTCTCCCTCAGAATCACACCAAGTGAGACGTCTTAAGGACCATGATAAAAACCTGAATAGGAGAAAAAGCAGGGTAAAGACCAGTTCGAGGCGTATTTTTCTGAACAACAGTTTGTCAGAGAATAAAGAGGCCGATGACCCAAAGACGACCGCTGGTGGAGGTCTGCTGGAAGCGTTTAGTGGTTATCAGTGTGAAGATACTGAAAATACAGGAAGTGACCGTGTGGTTTCAGAGCAGGATTCCTCGCTTATTCCACTAGGAACCACTTTAGAAAAATCATGGATGTGTCCTATAAACTTTGACAAGCTTTCTCCATCTCCCAGTGACACAGAGGCTGAGGAGCTCTCCAGCCTGCAACTTTTGGAGCAAAGTCTCCGGATAGATCCGAGAATTGCTCAGGTGTGATTCTCAAGCTTAGGAGGATGTTTAGAGGTCCAAACATAAAAAAGGCATGCTACCAAGCAGTCTCCTCCTTGGGGTCATTCGCTGATGCTTCCACGTACACACTGATGACGGGGGTAGGGAAGTGAGTGGCGAGAGGTGCCGTCACAGCAGGATGCCCCGAGCAACCCGCAAATGGCAGAGAACTGGAAGCTTCCCTCATGCCCTAAGACCCCTTAACGGCTCTTCCAAAAGAAAACACCGATCGGTCATGAAAATCAAATACTGCCCCTACTTGTCGAGAAGTTGACAAATCAGAACACCCTGCACAGTGTGGTACAGAGGGGAAGTGCTGCGGATCCACAAAACCCACGCCAACCCTCTAAAGACTTTATTTGAGGTCAGGTATGACCACGACCCAGAGTGGAGGTACTATACCGGGAACTACTGATAGACTATAAAAAGGGCTGGCTCAAAATTGAAGATGAGAACAACTAAACAAATGTCTAGGTAGCAGTTTTGCATTCCGACGTGTCACACTGCAATCACAGTTGCACTGTGGTCTATTTTTACTTTTCAACAGTAAGCTGATGCCTTTCTCAGGAATGAAATGGGACTGGATCACTTTTTTTTTTGATATAAAGTCAACTTAAATTTGTCACTTTGCAACAGCAGTTTGCAGGCATAAGCCAAAGTCAATGAGCAACATCCTGTTATGTTTTTTAAGGGCTTATTTTTAAATAAATAGATTTTCTGGTTTCTTCAAAAACAATGTACTGTGGTTGTGTAAAACTGCAACACTGTAAAGTGGTGCAAAACAAATCTTTTTTTTTTTAATAACTCAAAAACTTAAGTATGATGTCTGGTATTTATTTTCATCATTATGTGTGTTTCTGGTTAAAAGAATCCTACTGAGTCAAGGACACGGTTCGAAAACACCCAATATTGATTCCGTTGAAAAGCGTTACAAATTAAATTGGCTTCTGCTTCAATCCAAACATTGTGTCATTATCAAACAACCACCCATTCCAGAAGGATGTTGCAACATTTAGCACTTTAATATTTTCTCCAAAACAGACTAGTTCTTCCCACAGCTTTACACTAATAGGAAAAAAACTTTCATAGCATAAAGAAAATATATGTAGAAAAGTATGAAAAGTTCTTGGATGTTTCAATTTAATGTAAGTAGCTGCTTGTTACTTCAAACGTTATATATCGAAATGTTTATTAACTACTAGCAGACAAAATGAAAACAGAGTGAGCCCTGGACCGGAGAGTACATTAGCTGAATGATCAAAGCTTCAACTGGTGTATTATTGTAAGACCGCTTTAAGTCAAAAGCCTATCTTTTGATCCTGTCCATTCAACTCGGGTCATCAGTGGTGTGTGACTTCAGGCAAAATTAATTCAAGAGTAACATCATACAAACCACTTGATTTTTGTCACACTGCAAATAAAAGTGGTACAAAAAAGAAAAACATTTTGCATAAAATCAAAGTTATTCAAAGAGTCAGCAAATTAATTTCACGCAACTGCAGAAAAAAGAGCTTTCCCAACATCTGTTACTACGTCGTAAAATACATAATGCAAAAGTGATCACAGATGTTTAGGTAATTAATATGATTGAGACCAAACCTACTCTAATGACTCACACAGTACTCTCGAAAATGAGATTTCTTATGACATTTATTCAAATAAACAATACAGTTTATAATTTTATAGGATAAAATAATAGTTTAAACACATTAGAAGAATTTGGGGGAGAATTCCTCAAATATCTGAAACTGCATTAACGGATGTTTGTTTGATGACAGCTGACACTTTGGTGTCATCTTCCGACTTAGCAGCGCTTTACAGTCTCGTTAAGACACTCGTATTGCAGACATGAATGAGCATTCACAAGCAAAGAGCTCGACAACCAGACTATCCACCTCATAGAACAACGCAAAATCTGGAGGGGCACTGACATCTTAAAGTCGACTTCTCAACTCAAATGTGCGGAAAAATGACACAGGAAAATACAGGCGGCATGGGCCTTATAAGGCCCATGCCGCCTGGGTATTTCCTTTAAGAGCGATGAAAATGCCTGACCCTATTTGACAGCGATCCGGCCCAATTAGCAGCATGACAAAGATTTGCTGTTGGTACATTCCATTACTCTCATTCCATCCACATAGTGCAAGCTGAGCTTTAAGTGGGCTGCGGCAAGCCACGTCGGGAAAGAGAGGGAAAAAAAAGAAGAGTGAATATCACTCAGTTTGGCTCTTGCAAATAATTAGTAATTTACTTCAATGTTTAACACCTCTAAAACACCTAAGAGCGTACGGAAAAAGGTTAGAATAGAGGAACACGGGGCCGGTGCATTCTACTGTAACTTTGAACCTTAGAGCATTTTCTGCTCTTGCTTTTCCAACTCGGCTATGCTCTTTAACGGAGTACGCTATCTGATTACCTGACATTCTTTGTCAGAGATATTATTTGCCATTCGGTTACTGAGAAGGTCTAACTTATGCACCGCTCTGCAGAGACTGAGGATGATGGGACGAATGCCTTTTTGCCAAAGACAATCAAACTCCCACATACTATGGAGGAAGACGACTGACTCCATTTACATAGCAAAAGTACACCCTTCTCAATATTGGTGAAGAATAAACATTTTCAAAATTTCCAAATTATGAAAACGCGTGCCGCTCTTGCTCTTTAACTACCATGCATACTGACTGTATACAAATTGAAAAATACAGACCTTTTTTTGTTCTTCTGATGTTTTTTCCTCTTTTTCCCCCTGAAATGTCAATGCCCCTTTGCAATTAACCTACCAACATTCCGCTAATCAGACAGGGATCTCATCATATATTGCAGACATGGCAAGGACAATTACAGCTGTGTTGAAAGCATTTTCACACGAATGGTAAATATAAATCAAAATCAAAACAAAAACAGATCCAGAAGGAAAGAAAAAAAAAGGAAAATAAGATAGTTCAGGGGAGGTGGTACAATACAAGCCAAAACAATGCATTTGTTTCAGATGGATTTTCAGCTTTCTCAAGACTCCACTCAGTTTCTATCAATACTAGTGTACACTTTTTTATTACTCTACCCTTCATTTAAATATAATTTATTTAGAAGATTTTGTTTCCCGGAAAATTATGCAAAAGTGGTTGCCAAAGGAGAGGCGGCAGAAGCCCCGTGCTGCCCTGTTAAATTGCATCAGCGCTCTAGTTTTTCAAGATACTCAAGAGTCTGTTGAATTGGGACGTGTCAATCTTCAATGTACTCCCACAGGTCCTTCTCATAGCCTTCATGCACATGCTGTAGCAGCACTCTTCGCCTGCTCTCACAGTATCTGTAGAGATCAAAACATTTCTTAGCCTCCAAGCTAACACAAACTTAAGTAACAGTGGCAACAGTGAAATCGATTCTGCCTTTACTGACCTGTACTTATCTTGTACTTTCTGCTTGATGTCCTGCAAGGAATCCTGGGAGATATCCCGCTCGAGGTAGCCAGAGAGTACCTCAGTGGCATTTTCCAGGTCTGCCTGGTTATTCTGATGAACGCAAAACATGATTATAAATATGAATAAAGTATCTATTTTACATTATTACTCAAAGGAATTTCAGGTGTTCATGATAATGTCCCTCTACACTTCAAAGCATCCTACCTAAGGCTTCGTTTAGACCAGTGGTCCCCAACCTTTTTTACGTCACAGACCGGTTTCATGTCAGACAATATTTTGCGGACCGGTCGAGAAGGGGGGGGTGGAACGACCAACGGGGGTCGGGGGGGTGGGGTAGTTGTTGCGGGCGGAACGACCGACGTAATAGTCGTGCGCTCTGTGTTCGCTGGTCGGCGAAAAGGACAAGAAAAACGCCTGGTGACGCGTGGGGAATATGTCAGAGGGACGAGCGCACATAATTAGAAGAAAATCTGTTCAATTTTCAAAATAAAACATTTTTCAGAAAAAAAAATACATATAAGCTTTCTGTGGTGCGGCCCGGTACCAAACGGCCCACGGACCGGTACCGGTCCGCAGCCCGGTGGTTGGGGACCACTGGTTTAGACTACAAGAAGCTCAGATTGATTTCCTCACATTCCCCCCTCCCAACTATCTGGTGATTGTTTGGGTCCTGGGCCTTTTTTAGTGGACTAATTCTGCTACAAGGAAATGTAGCAAAAAATGTTGTGGGATTTCCCTTTTGTCCGCCATTAAGGTATCACAAGCAGTTATAATGCGTTGCTAAAAATTAAGGGGGCAACATTTCAGCCAAATACTCCAGCCGATCTGAATTAGGTGAAGATTTACACTAAAAGGGTTTTTCGCAAAAATACTTAAAATTCTAGTGCTCAGTTACAATGGGCTGCCATGTATAGCAGTCTCAACATTGCCGTCTTGAATAACAGTTTGGTAAATGTGTATGTATAACATAAATCCTACCTCAAAAATAATGGACTGGTTGTTCTTCTTGAGGTAGAAGGCAAAGACATAAGTGAACATGAGTGTTGAGCGACACTGGCACAGCACATCCACGGCCTTCTTCAGGAACTGCACCTCGATCCAGGACATGTTGTGCTGTTGCATCTCCTCCATTTTCTGCTTGACCTGAGCATAGAGCTTGTGCTCAAAGCGCAGGCTCTGCATGTGGTTCATGTAGCGGTTGCAGTAGAACAGGTACCTCTGCAAGGCGGCCCTGGAGCGCTGCAATAACAAAGCATTGAACTAGCCGTAACTCAAAACAGACTCAACTTGACTCATTCCGGACTGCTAATGTTCAGAAACACAGAGTGCAACATCATCAGCAAAATTTAGTGACATTTCAGAACTCTGCATGCGTTTCAGGCAAGATGATCTGCCTCACTGTGCAACAATCAAGAGGAGGTGTAGGGACATTAATCATTGGGCGGATCGAGCAGCGTTCAATGTACTTTTCCAACCTCACTGTTATTTTAGATTTTCTTCCTCATGGTATACGGCAGAGTATGTTTGTATTATTATTTGGGAGTGTATTGTATTCTCATACAGATGAGACGGTATTTTTTTGGTACTGACCAAATGACATACATTTGATCAAGATGCCTTCTCAGAATGTTGTGTGTCACACAGTGCAGTTGGATGAAATCATGCAGCAAATTGGGCCATTATCTGGTCTTCCACATGACACAAACAAATAAAAGTATCAACATGACTGTAGGGTTGTTACTATACTTCTGTACCACCATGCACCTGCACAGCTTTTTGAACACTTAACAAATGGCATTGATATTAGTATAAGCCAGGGCTGTCAAAATTGCTCAAAAAGGACGTTCAAATATTCGCTTTAAAAAAAGGCACGCGTCTCACAGACACACAACACACAGCCCCTCCCCTCTGTGCACACCTCTGTATCCCGTGTAAAAAAAGCCATGGGTTTAAAGTGTAATGTAAGTCACTTTGGCTAAAAGCGTCAGCTAAATGACCTGTAATGTAATGTAATGAACGCTCCGAGCGAGTTGTGCTGTGAACATGGAACTTTTCCTTGGCATAAAACTTCAAATAATCAAACCAGTGCATGAAGCTGTTGTAGCCCATCTAGTCTATTTTATTCATGCAATATAGTCAGTAGTCAGGTGTGCGCCAACCCGCTAAGCAGACAGTCACGCCACGTTTTTTTTTCCTTTTAGAACATTGAAATAGTTGTTTTTAACAACTATTCGAATATATATTTGAATATAGAATATTCGTTGAAAGCCCCAGTATAAGCTAGCAATTTCAAACCTAGGACGGTCGGCAAGAACTCGTGCACTTTTGGTCATGTCTCCCCTGCGATCACGCACTGTAAGTGTGTGCTGGGTAGCCCCGTCTTCTTGCAGTCAATGCGTGCAAACAGACTGACAAGGGGTGGAGCAGTAAGCCATCTGATCGCACGCTATTATAATGTATAAAGTATCGCTACCAATATCATATTGTTTTTACGGTACCGCATTTTAGTATTGATAAACCGTGCAACATTACATGCCTGTTATTACCTCTTGAGCATCTCGGGCTGCCTTTGCATCATCTTCATTGTACCGATTGCAGTTGTACCTAGAGCATTACAGCCAGGTCAGAACCATCATCAATGTTTGCCACAAGCTATGATTTGACAATAATTTATGTTTTCATGCTTTCTCACATAAAATGTCTGACAATGCAGATTTTAGATGTTTAGTAAGACATGAGACGATACAACAATTTGATGGTTGATTGATTAGATTTCCACTTATAGAAAAGAATAGGTTTAAATTTAAATTAAAACAAAAGGGAGGTAATTTTCTACATAAGGCATTAGCTCTTACCAGGCTGAGCCGTGGGGCTCCCATGGACCCAGACACACCCAGCAGAACTCAGCTTTGCAGTTCTGGTTCCGACAAACCATGTGATTGCAGCCTCCATCTTTTTCAATGGTCACATGGCATTTTGGACACTCCTGTCATGAGAGGAGAGTAATGACTTTTGTAAGTCTCTGCTTAATGTTAAAGGTTAAGTTTTTCACTCAAATGTTGAGTGGAATTCTAGCAAATGAGAAACGGAAAAACATGTTTTAGAAATGTAATGTTTAAATTTAATATATTTCTTTTTTTGGTTGAATGTCTTTCATGAATCTACACATGTGTCCTAAACAATAATGACAACCTGATGGCTTGGGCTCAAGATAAGGTCTGTAATATGCATGTTTCGGCATACAAATATGTGATGCAGTTTAAGTTTGAGTCAGTATAATTGGTATTCCCACAATTAAAATTGTTTTGTGATCATTACACAATCATTACAAAAGCAGACAGAAGGGTCAAACTAACAGATAATCTGGATTCCGTACCTTAGTATTTGCTGCAATCCAGTTTGAAGTTTCACTGTCGTCATCACATTTCTTTATCCATTTTCTCAACCACTACAAAAATGTTCAAACAAGAGAAAGAAACCATCATATAATAAAGCCTTTTCATTGGGAAAGTTTTATATATATATATATATATATATATAAATAAATAAATATATATATTTTAACAGTCTGGAGTAATAGAGTGGCATTTCTACAAGTGGGCACTGTAATGGTAAAACATGTCTAGTCGGCTTACCTTACACTTGACAGGATCATGCCAATTCTCTCCACAGTTGAAGCTACACCATAGGGAGGCACCACGAGTCAAATTCACACAATGTTAATTAATCACTTTTAAAACATAAGTAATATCACTTCCAATCACTGAGATTTTGCTTTGAACAACCAATCTCACCAGAACTGACGGCCACACTTGCACTTCACTGGCTTGGCGTCTGGGTACTGAACTTTGACAACATGATGGCAGTCTGGTGCAGGGCACCACTTTAACAGTCGATTGCACTTAAAAAAAGCAATGAGAGGTAGAATATCAACTCTTTGTTTCATGGTTGCAGCACAAAGAAGGTGCCCGCTTTTCCAAATACGGCGCAACAGAAGAATAGCGTAACATCATAAAGGCTTCATATTTAATATTCATATTCTGTTAGGGAGAAAAAAGCTTACCTCTACAAAACTATTTGTAATTAAATGCTGGTACTTCAACTTCACTTTAGAATCTGTGATGAGGCGCCTATAGGAGAGGTCAAATGATTAATTAATTAGTCTTCATTAAAGCTTCCCTCTTTCACATTCAGTGCAAGACACATTGCAGGAAAGATTTATTATTTTAAAGTCAAATTGCAAAATGACATTACAATAACAATATTCCGGTTTCCTGTCATGCAGGAAATAAATATCCTGCTAAATAATGATTAGTAGTATTTTAAACATCGGTAGAAAATGCATTTCATGGAACTGAAATTGACCTGAAAAATTTGATTATTAAAAGCAGCTACAAATTTCATCATCGATTCTTTGTGTTGCACGATTATTACGTCACTCAATAAGTTGCGGAGATGTGCGCAGAGCAAAAGTAAAAGCGCAGAACCGACGTAGAGGAAAGAGGCGCCAGCAGCGCCGGCAGTTTTTGTGAGTGTGTCAATGGCAAAATATGCAAAGTCGACGTAACCTGGCACGGGAGCACCACATTGTCCCGTTTTGACGTGAGGAACGTAAGGAGCCTCCAGCAGTTTCGCTACTGCTGTTTACTCTCATCCAGCTGATCAAGCTAGCGTTAGCTCACTAATAACAACAATAAAACAGTTAGCAGGACTACGACACGTTTTTATTTACTCACCTCTTTTGGACCGTTCATTTTTCAATCTGTTGTCTTGTATTTCGTGCTTTGTCCCATATCGGTTATTGTGGACAAAAATATTTGTGTGTGTTTAATGCTGTCATATACGGTAGTCTAGTGCGCTTGCGCATATACTGTGGGTTTTACGGTAGTTGAGACACGGTGATCCATAAAACCAGCGCGGCTAACTAAAAAGCCTCTAATGCATTTATGTACTAAATTCATTTTTAAATTCATCTCATAGCACTTAGTAGTTTTTTAGCTGGGGTGTATACATTTACTTAACTTGCACTACAATGATGGTAATAATTGAATGAATAAGCTTCAAGTGAACATGGGGGTGTGTTTGTGAGTGTCGTATAGAGAACAAGTTAAAATAAGTTTGTTAAAACAAATCCTGTTACATTTTCTGATTTGTATTTTTCTTTATTTTTTTTAATAAATTCTTATGTTCAAGGAGCCACCTGTACTTTCTGAAGTATTTTTGCAATGTGAATTTGCAGTTCTGTTTTAGAATATTTTTAATGCTGTTTTTTAAAATCCGATTCATTGGCTAATCAAAGAAATAATCGACCAATTAATCGATTATCAAAATAATCGTTAGTTGGAGCCCTACTATTGAGTTTGCCCACAATTTAAAATAATATTCAAACCGTCAGATTTTTTTTTCTTTTAATGCAAATCCTTATTGGCTGTCATATCGTGCCCGCGCCAATTATTCTAAGACGTAATATAAGCAAAGGCCAACTCGCTGCTGCAGCAGGCAAATGTTTCTGGAGGTAAAATACACAGCGGTGTAAAGAGTGGACTGAGAATTTGAGAAAGAAATGGAAAGAGAAGAAAGTTCTGAAAAGAAAGAATGATGATTATGATTACGGCCAAGTGTTTAAAAAAGACATAAAGGACATTAACTAACTCTGTCGTTACTATGATCGATCTTCCATAGTCCATCCACTATCCAACAGGTCGAGGCCCCTAGTGGCCTGGCGAACTTGTGTTGTATTTTGAAAGAACTTGCAGTGTTTCTCTTGCATGTGTTTAGAAGTTTGCGTCGCGTGTGCTCCTGTTGGATCTGTTTTGCCGTTTGCAACGCTTTTGCACAAGTCGGCCACCCTAAAATTGGCTGTAAGTTTTCGATTTTGTTCGTCTGAGAAATTTGCTATGAATTTGAATTTTATACATCGAATATCTGCTATTGACGATGCAATAAAACATCCATCGGTTAAAAAGTAATTTGTACTCTGTAATTTGAAGAGTACTTTGGACTTTTACGTATTATTAGTATTAGTATTTTTTAACACTGGTACTTTTACTTGTAATTGAGTAGAATTTAAGCAATGTAACAGTACTTGTACTTGAGTACAAATTTTCAGTACTCTTTCCACCTCTGCTGCAGGCTAACATCAACATTCAAACTTTATATTGAAAGACTTTGAAAGTGTATGGGCTTTATTATGTTTTCCAACTTTTCAAGAATAGTTGAAAAATCTGTGTTTTCCGGCTCCTAATAAAGTCTGGACTTAAATATGGGCACGGCAATTTCCCCAACCCATGTGCACATATGTACCCCTCACGTTGGCCGATCTGTTCGTCGGACTAATCCCCACATAAGTTGTAGACCTAGAGCAAACACTGAAAGTGACATTTGTTCCAGCAGTGCAGATGTAACAATGCTGCTTCTCAGGTGGTTTGTCGTGTATTGCGTTCGCCTCTGTACTTGTTTAAAGTAACAAACTACAGCTCTATCAGTTGTACAGCAATGCTAACCAGTAACTAGCAGTTTACATGCACAGCTTTCCAAAGCGTGTGTGATGTACGGACTCCAAAAAAGAGAATATCTCTGACCAAATCCGACGCCCCATCAAAAGCACACACATTGGACAAAAGGAAAACGAGAGCAATCGTTTTTGTTTCCTGCTCTTTTTATAACAAGAAAGTCTAAAACATGTGAGCACAAAAGATACTCACATGACTGTGTTGTCATCGACCAAAATGTCACAACTATGAGCAGGGCAAGAAATGGTCTGAGAAAACAAAAAGAAGGCCAATCATTAGTCAAACTGCTATTAAACGAATGTGTTCGGTGACCAGGGACTCGTAACCTAAGAAAAACTGAGAGTGGGTACCTGTCCCATTCCTTCTTCTATGATTTTGGTGGTCAGGTAATCTCCCCAGCACTGCGTGCAGAACTTGTGTCCACACTCCAGGCCTGTAAAATACTGAAAGGGAAAAGCATATTGTGAATAAGAAAAACAGGCCACCACATGATAGTAAGCACATGCACGTTTGGTAACGAAGCAAAGGAAAAGCCTGCAGAGTGAGACAAATCCGAAGAACCCATATTTGCTTAAACAATACACAAACGTTCTATTCTATTTAAAGTAACATTGATCAACCAACTTTCTTTCTGATTATAAGAGAACAAAAAGAGAAACTCGTTAAACCACTTGGCCCAAATAGTTTACGCTCATCTATGTTTGAGATAATATACATAATTTTGGGAGTAAAGTTGTGCACTTTGCAGTGTACCTTTAACTCAATTTGAGAAAAGTGATAAATGCAACCCACCACAAAATTATAATTACAATGTAAAATTTTCAATGCATTTCAAAGTTGTAAAACAATAAAACATGAAAAAATGTGCCTAACAGGCATATCAGCAACCACGTATTGTAATCGTGCAAACAATAAATATATATACATATATATATAAAGTGACAGTTTCTACGACAATACACCGGTATGACGGTGTGTGAGAAAATCATTCAATTTGATACCGATATACCGTCTAGCCCTACACAATAGTTAGCAAAAGGAACCTCTGATTTAAACTAACTATCATACATTCAGCGAGCGCAGCACAGTAATGGCCTCATTATGGGACTCACAGAGTTGGGGAAGTTTAGGTAGCAGATCTGACATGGCATGTCCTGTGCCGACGATCTAGTGTTGATTGGAGGACGGACGCGAGGCTTCTTACTGGGGTTAATGACATGACACTCAGAGAAAAGCTTGTCCAGATTCCCATCAAAATACCTGCATGAGAGACAAAAAAGGATGTAAAAGTGCTTCTTCTTAACTTGCAGGCTGGTAGGTTAAAGGTAACAATTGAGAATGTATTTCCGAGTTTCTTACCTTTCCATGAGCTTTTCTTTATCCCAGTTGAAGTGACTGAGAAGTATGCGTGTTATTGTTGCAGGATTCTGGAGGAACAAGATAGGGGTTAAAAAAAATAAAATTGTTATTTAATTTTACAATCACCAAAAGGAGTAAATATGCGAGAAAGTCACATATTACAACAAGTTGAACTCGATAGAAAGCTTAATTGTCCAGTTTTTTTACAATATTGATTAAGCCCAGTAAATGAATTAAGTAATGTTATATTGGTCTTTTCAGTAGTCATCGCATTACAATTCATCGTCCGCCCATGTCAGTTATCAGAAACAAATTTGCGAGGCCCCGTTCCTCAAATAAAATAGCACAAACTACACAAACTTCCACTACCCCAATGCAGATGGTTCTCGATTTTTAGATGTATTGCAATGCAGATGTGAACAACTCTAAATCATTGCGGCAATGAAACATATCAAGGATTACAGCTTAATTTTGGCTGAGTTTGAGTCTTGACTGCCGTTTGCTCTACGGAAAACTGCAGTAATAGAAAATGGAGCTCTTTATTATTATAGAATGCTACATGATCATTTTGAAAGGGAGATTTATTTGACTGCTTTGACAATTGTTATCTGAAAAAGTAGCCATGTAGATTTGTTTATGAAACATAAGATGTGAGTTAGAATCAAATCGAATAGAGGAAGGGGAAGGTTTACACTTCTAAAAGAAGTTATTTCAAATTCATGTCAACCCCTTTCACACAAAAGGTAGTATACCTTCATAGTTGGACAGCTCCTAATGATTTCAACATTTTTTCAACATAAATTTAATAAAACAATATTATAACAATATATTCTGATTAGTTAATTATTCTCATAATTATTTCCTTGGTGGTTCTAAAGTGCTTTCTTTTTAATTAATGTTTAATATAAAAATTGATTTATTAAATACAATTGGAAACATGATCTGTATTCATTGAATCATTGTGTGCCATAGCAATTCAATTACAAATTAAAGGGTTACAACAAAATATTTTATCATTTGATTAAAATGCAGTGAATGTATTTTTGCATCAGTGTTGGGCAGGTAAAACAATTCAAACAAGTTGCATTCTGTAACAACAATCACTCACTCTCACATGGCAGTGAACGGGAAATACAAAAACAGGTGAACAATGGGTAAGGTCAGACGCATATTGTAAGGTTACTGTAGAGGCTAAGCCTACGCTTTAAGCTACTGAGGCATTTCGTCCGACAGCCCTAATTGACGCGCCGCTGTTCGTCCCGGATGAATGACAGTCCTATAGCCTTTATGCTGTTTAGTCCCTTCATTTTCCAACTTTCTCATCATACCGTTACAACCATCCACCCAGTGTGTGTAACGTAGCACTACCCAGCATGTGCGGTCAAAAACTGTTTGGCTATTCTGGTTGGAAACACCTGACGAGCTCCAATAGGTTCCTCCCCTATATAGGCTAAACCTGCCCATCAATCAGCTCGTCACATACATCAAATTGGCTCTTACAGTTATATTATCGTAACATGATAGCGGTTGAAGTGGTGCAGAATTTACATTAAACACAGGGGCGATGGAAAACCAAATTGAAAATCCTTGTTGAGTGTAGGGCTGTCAAAATTGCTCAAAAATGACATTTGAATATTCTCTTTAAAAAAATGGAATATATTATATTATATTCGAATATCTGGTTGCGCATTAGACACGTCAATAACAGGACAAATTAATACAACGAGACATAACTACTTGTATAGGTAATTTATTTAAGTTTAAACCAATTTAACAACATATTACCGGCACAATAATAAGTAAATTAACGGCCAAGACCGCCGACCTCTCGCTCACACGCACACTTGCTCGCTCTCTCTCTGCGCAAAGCGGTTTAAATGAACGACAACAATAAACAAATGCTGATCAAGAGTTCTGTGCAAGCAATTTAAGGTCGCAATTCTGACCAAAAATGTCAGGTTTCATTCAGTGATTGAAACTGAAAGTTTTACAGTACCAACATTGAACGCTCCGAGAGAGCTGTGCTGTAAACACGGAACTTTTCCTTGGCATGAAACGGCATATAATCCAACCAGTGCATGAAGCTGTTGTAGCCTATCTAGTCTAGTCTATCTGCAATATAGTCAGTACACGCGCGCGCCCACCCGCTAAGCAGAGAGGTGGCCCTGACTGCTAACGTGATAGCGTAGTGATTTACATTACATTTCACACTTTTTGCTAACTGGAAATGCTTGTATTGGCAGTGGTAGAAAATCTAGGCCTACTCAAAAAGAATTCCGGAGTTAAACTATTAACTAATTACAGTAAAACTATTAAGATTGCATAATAAAAGTTATATTTTCATATGTTTTACTTCAAAGACTGAAAGGCATCATCAGCACAATGAACTTAATTTAGTCATATGATGCCTAGTAGTTTAAAACATTATATTGTAATAATTACATTTAGTGACTGTAGTACTACATGGTTTTCCTCCAAAGTAGTTGAGTTGCATATAAGTGGCATCTTTTGTAGGTTATATTGTGGAAAAATCATTTAGAACAGTAGGGCTGGAACTAATGATTATTTCTTCGACAAATCGGATTAAAAAAAGGGCAGCTTTAATTTCCAACCATTAATTCTAAAACAAAACTGCAAATTCACATTGCAAAAATACTTCAGAAAGTACAGGTTGCTCCTTGAACATAAGAATTCCTAAAAAATAAAGAAAAATACAAATCAGAAAATTTGTAGGATCAAAACTTGTTCTCTATATTCCACTCACAGACGCACACACTCAAACACCCCCCCATGTTCACTTGAAGCTTATTCATTAAAATATTACCATCAAAGTTAAGTAAATGTATACACCCCATCTAAGTACAGCTAAAAAAAACCCAAGTGCTATGAGCTATGAATTTAAAATGGCATTTGTAAATAAATGCTTTAGAGGCTTCTTAAGCCTAGTTTATGCTTCTGCGTTTTCAGAGCGACGCAGACGCAAGCCCCCCTTGCGTGCCTTTTCACATCTCCTTGCGTCCTTGTGTGTGTCAACCCATTTTTCGAGGCTTGCGTCGTCCTCCCGCAGCGCACCAGGCTGCGATTGGTCCGCTAACTACATCCTTTACGGAGTCTCACATTTCCGCTTTCATACCCCGATACCGCCATTATTAAAACAAAGAATGTTTACGAGAGAACGAATCAGATTGAAGAAATGCGTAAATATGACCGCTTATACAAGCCGTCATTGGCGGGTTGTATAAGCGGGTTGGATTCACGGAGGGAGATCGCCGCAAACGCCGGTTTGCCGGTCGAGAGGTGCACAAAGTTGTGGAAGAAAATACGGGACAAATGTGTCCGCGATGAAAAGCAGCAGTTGGCGATGCACGGGGCAATAACGTCTATGATAAATAAATAAACAAATAAATAAATAGACGTGACTCTCTAGATCAGGGGTCACCAACCTTTTTGAACCTGAGGGCTACTTCATGGGTACTGAGTAATACGAAGGGCATCCATTTTGATACACTCTTTTGAAATAACAAAGTTGCTCTCTTTGCCTTTAGTTATATATTATTAATGATTAATGATACTCATCTATGTGACACTAATCATTTTACAAAATAATCTTTTACATTTCATGAATACTCTATTGAACACCATTTTCTGAATTTAAATCCACAACATTTCATGTGAAAAATCTTTTTATTTCACTTGCCAGTGACAAACCCTTTTAACAAATCATTAACTATGTATTGCACCTTGTTTGAAAAAGTTATCAATTATGTAATGTTCAAGAAAAATCAACTTACATATTTTCAAATACATCTAATCACATTTTGAACTAATGACAAAGTCTGCTGAATTTTGCAGTTCTGGTGGGCTTTGAGGTGCAGGTCATTTAGAAATGTTACAATTTCAATCTCCACCTGTGCAGCATCCAAAGTTGAACGTTGCACTTAGTTGCTCAGCAATGTCAGTTATGTCCTTGTTCATGAAAGGATTGGAGATGAATGAGACACATGGCTCAAGCTGATCAAAGTCACAAAACCTGTCCTCAAACTCTTGTCCAAGTCTGTTTATGACTTGACAGTACTTTTCTGAAACTTTGTCCATTGCCTCAGATGCAGAAGCATTGTCTTTCAGCACCGATCGCACAGAGGGAAAGTGCAGCATTTTTTTTCTCTGTAAATGCACAGAGAAAATGTTCATCTTGGCTTGAAATGCATTTAAAGCACTTATCATGTCAACAACAGTCTTACCTTTGCCTTGCAGCTCGCAGTTCAAGTGGTTTAGTTTCCCAGTGATGTCCGTTAAAAATGCAAGGTCAAGTGTCCACTCTGTGTCCTCTAGCAGCGAGACGTCTTCCCCTTTGGACTGCATGAACTCCTTGATTTCACCCAAAAGTGACACGAAGCAAAACTCGTCCTCTGCTCAGCCATCGGATTTCTGTGTGTAGCAACAGGTCCCCATATTCTGCTGACATCTTCTCCAATAGCACCTTGAATATCCTGTACTGTTTTGCTTTTGAGCTGATGCTGTTGATGATTTTTACAACGGGAGTCATCACGTGCGCGACAAAACCTGCATGTCGGCCGATCATAGCAGGAGCTCCGTCTGTAGTCACTGCTACTAGCTTTTCCAGTGGTACCTTTTTCTGTACGAAAAACTCCTTCACCGCGTTGTAAACGTCAACTCCCCTCATAGTTGTCTTTAAGGGCAGGAGTGCCAGGAGTTCTTCTTTAGTGAAGAAATCTTCAAACACCATCCGTATAAAGACTGACAGCTGCGCTGTACTGCTGTTGTCCACGGACTTGTCGCACTGTACGCTAAACCAGCTGCACTGCGCCAGATCCCGGTCCAGCTGCTCGGCCAGGTTAGTGGACATAGCTGACACCTGTCTAGTCATCGTCGATGCCCCCAGTTGGACATCGGAGAGAGTGAAAATTAAATCGGTTCCATTTTTCTCGTCTTTAAGTACGGTGTTGGCAATAATCATCATTGCTTCTTTGAAAACTTCTCCGTCTGAAAAGGCCTTCTTCTTTATCAGGAAATGTGCAGCTCTAAACGAGGCTTCGGTTGCTTTTTGGGAGTTCTTTGCCGGCTTCGTGAAAAAAGACTTCTCCTTTCCCAAAGCTGCCTTTAGCTCACACAGCGCGCTTCCCGTGGGGTAGTTAGCTTGGTAGCTTTTGTGTGTAGCGAAGTGTCTCTCCACATTGTGCCGCTTTGCCGTCGCCACAGTCGCCCCTCAAATGAGACAAACGCAGTTTTCTTTCACACTTTTAAAAAAGAATTCTTCCTCCCATTCACTGTGAAAATGATATGTTCTCTTCCTTTTTTCTGCCATGTTTTTTGGGGTGAGAATGTGCATTCAGCTCCGCATCATTGCTGTTCCCGCACTCACCTTTGAACTAGAATAGGTCAGAGTTCGACTAAATTATCAAAACTTGTATTATACAAATATTTTTAATTATTTTATTTTAAATATCTTGGCATTTTCATATACATATGAATGCAAGTGTGATTTAAAAAAAATATTAATTTAGCATTATTTCGTCAACACTGACTGATATAAATAGGGTTATATAATAATGTTTTTATGAATAATCTTCCATTAAGATTTGCCTGAGTACTTGAACTTTGCAGTGGTATCTAAGACAGTTCACGGGTCTCGACAGATGAAACAAATCCACAAATCAATTGGAATTAGACTACTTCCTGGTCCTCGTATGGACATTGTTACTTAACCATTTAACACAGTACATATCTTAATTATAAACAAACCTGGACAAAAATACTAAACTAGTGAAATAACATTGTTTTTGTATTGTGTTTCACTAGTGAAACCGCCAACTTCCAGGAAGTGAGCTAAATCGAGCTAATGGCTAAGTGGCTACGCTAACGTCCAAGGCCTGTTTCAGCTCAAACCAAGCCTGGATCCTTTGAAACGTTTTGGGAAGTCATCATAAACCATCGTGTAAACGTTAAGCTATATAACCGTCGCATGTAACGCTAACTTGCTAACGAGGTCGATGACAAAGCCTTTTGTCCAACATTAAAATTACGTCGACGATTGTTATGAAAAGAATTGTGAAACGTCGAATGTAACATTATATTACTTGGTTAACGCACCAATACTATCGTTATGCACGAGTTGGCAATTAACGTTACCCTGATGCAACACTAAAACTGTTATGCTTTTGTAGTGAGGTGCTCGATTAACGGTTACAGATTGCTAGTTAGCCTGATAGCTAGCTAGCTAGCTAGAAAGCTAACATTAGCTTAGCAGACGCGTCTGCCAACTTCTCAATTGGGATTAGACTACTTACTGGCCCTCGTATGGAAATCGTTACTTAACCATTTAACATACTTATAAACAAACATGGACCAAAGTACTAAACTAGTGAAATATCATTGATTTTACTATTGTGTTTCACTAGTGAAACTGCCAACTTCCAGCAAGTAAGCTAATCCGAGCTAATGACTAAGTGGCTAAGCTAACGTCCATGGCCTGTTTCAACTGAAACCAAGCCCGGACCACGGACTTTCCTGCCACCTAAACACCAGAATGCCTACCTGGATGACCTCGTTGACCTCCCTGATACACTCCACCATATGCTGGAGGATCTGCTCGGCAGTCAAAACCTCGAAGCGGTAGTCCTCTTCCTCTTCCTCAGCAGGTCCGTGGCCCCCTCCACCAGTGTCCCCGCACTCGTCTCGCTCTCCACCGGCCACAACGGGATCGGCCAACTCCACCTCTCCCAGCTCCAGGGTGTCGTCCTCGGGCTCCTCTTCGGCGCTATCCTCGCTACATTCCTCCTCCTCGTCGTCGTATTCATAGTTATAACCCTCGTCTGAGTCCATTCCTAGGGTTGTTATCAACTTGTGACAAGTTCAGTTTGTGGAATGTTGATTACGGAACAATATGAAAACCAAATCCGAACCTATTTGTCGGCTGCAGTGAAAATAACAACAAACCGTCGCCGCTGCTAAGCCAACAAAGAGACACAGCGTCACCAACTGACAACGTCCTTACGTCAGATGGGCCGTACAGAAAAATGAAGAAAAATCCCCCCAGAACAATTTTAAAAACTATTAAATATAATATTAATATATACAATATACATATGTTCATATGGATGCTTTATTTTGCAGTAATATGTATCCAAACTATTTTTTAAATACGCAATAAATCATTCATATTATATGTCCAATTTTAACATCTGCAGCTTAACACAGCGGCACTTCCGCCTTGTACATTTTTGAAGAGGTCTATAGTCTAAAAGAATATAACCAAAAGGCGAACTAAACAATTCTGACCTTGCCTTCAGTTATTGTGCTACACACATGTTTTGACATTGTAATAACTCTCCCCAAACAGTTTTTGTCAGCGTTTGTGTAGCCCTCCCCAAGATGATTAGTTTTATTTCCCATAGTTTCATCGCATGTACTCGTATAGACTTTGATTTACGTAGCTGTACAACAAAAAACAGTAACCACAACATATATGTCTAACCGGATATCCAATATAATCGGATATAGGACATTTGCAAACTGTTTTAACATATTCATTTAATTTCTTTTTAAACGTTGTGGCCCCCTGACTCATATGCGTTCTTCAAGCGCGTTCCTGGTTTCAAAACTGTTACTGTTGTCAAAACCTAATAGCTTGTCGAAGCATCCCAGCATCAGCTGTCTATTAGTGAATCTTACAGACACAAACCACACTGATGGCATGAGGTTGAATTTTTGCATTGAATTTTTTGCGGTTGAATTATTTGCGGCTGAATTTTTTGCAGTTGAATATTTTAACGTTGAATTATTTGCGGTTGAATTTTTTGCAGTCGAATATTTTAACATTGAAAAACATGATACATGATTTCAATGCATAAATATTCAGTGCTAGAAATTCAATCACCTTTCTTTCAAAATCCAATAACACAGATTTACTTCCATACTACTCATTTTCCTCCAAAATGGCCCACACACACTGGAGGGAGTGTGGCTATTACCGCAGACTTTCACCTCTTATATCGAGCGATCCCCTTTGAGCCCTGAGGCTCTTTTTTTTTTCCTTTATTTAACCAGGTCAAAGTCCCATTGAGATTGAGATCGCACACGTTGTTAAAAACAGCCATAAAATACATATACATGACATGAATAGAACCACAATACAAATTAAGTTAATTACGCTAAAGTTAAAAAGTACAAAGAATAAATGGTCAAAAGCAGAGGCACCGTTCAATAGATTTTTGTTGTCTGTCCATTTGGAGACGTCGGAAAACATTAAAATATACAAGTTCAGACAATTTGAATTCAGCCTGGAGATTGTTCCATGTTGATGGGGCGGCAAAACTGAATGCTTTTTTCCCCAATTCAGTCCGCACTTGTGGAATGTACAAGCAGTAAATATCACTGGCCCTTAAAGCGTACCGGTTTTCTGCTCCACAGAGGAGTGAACATAGATAAGACGGAACCACACCAAGGAGAGCCTTATAGATCAAGGACAACCAGTGAGTTTCTCTCCGAGTGCTCAGAGATGGCTGTGGTGGAAATTGTGGATTCAGCCCTTGTGAGAAATCAAAAGTATCAGAGACTTGCTTGTGATTAAGTATTTTACTTACTAGAATATAGGAAAAATCGTAAGAATACAGAAATCATCAACACCAGCCGCAGACAGAAGTCAAATGACTACAATTCAGTGGACTTGGTCAGGTCACGGGTTTCCCAAGAAAGGTCACATACGATGTTACGCACCAGCTCCCTAGAAGGGAGAGGACCGTTGACACGCTGCTGCTCAAGACCCAAGTGTATCACTACAGGGGGCATGTAGGGGTCGTGGTGCAAGTAGGACACAAGAGTTTTACCGTGTATAGATTACTTTATTATTCTCTAATCACAATGATTGCACGGAGAAGGGCTGGGCAGAACCAAAGCAATGAAACAAACAAAAATACACAGGCTAGTTCCTATATATAGTGCCGTAGCTTTGGCACGCTAACCAAAAATACAGGTGGTGGTCTGCCCAGGTCTGGCTAGTGTTCCTAGACAGAGACTCACTGCGGGTGATGTATGCCCATGGGCCTCTAGTCTAGCCACAAAGGCTCCCCTAAGAGGGTTATGGTCAGTGAAGACCATAACAGGGATGTTACTTAGGCCAACGTAGACTTCAAAGAACTGGAGTGCCAAAAGTAAGGCAAATGTCTCTTGCTCAATTGTCGAATACCGTTTTTGACACAGGCTGAATTTTTTGGAAAAGAAGCTAATTGGACGATCCACACCATCGTCACCCTCCTGTAGTAGGACTGCACCTGCCCCCACGATACAGGCATCAATTTCGGGAGTCCAAATGTGGAGAAGAACTTCACCAGGGCTTTGATGATGGTTTTCGTCGTTATTGTTCGGAGGGGGATGGCTTCTGGGTACCGTGTAGCACTGCACATGATAGTGAGAAGGTACTGGTTACCTGCTCGTGTCTTCGGTAGTGGGCCCACACAGTCCACTATCACTTGGTCAAACGGCTCTCCAATCACAGGAATTGGATGAAGTGGCACAGGAGGAACAGGTTGGTTCACCTTTCCTATTAGTTGGCACACATGACAGGTTCTGCAGTATTTGACAACATCAGATTTTATACCTGGCCAGAAAAGTACCTGAGAATTCGGTTGTATGTTTTTGTTATCCCTAGATGTCCTGCCCATCCAGGGTCATGAGCCAATGACAGTATCTGCGGTCGTAGCGGCGCAGGAACAACTACCTGCTGAACAACATCCCAGTCCTCACCGGTTTTGTGTGCTGTCCAACTGCACATTAGAACTCCCTCCTCCACTGAATAGGCAGCCCCCTGCAGGCCTGTTTCTCCAGGGGCCTCTATTGCATCTAAACACTTCCTCAGACTGGTATCCGCTTTCTGCCACTCAATTAGCTTTTCCACTGCTAAGGATGGGAGAACGTCCTGTAGCTGAAGGGTGCAGACGTCTTCCCTCATTGTAGGCAGTGTGGCCTGTACCTCAGGCTTTGGTTCTGTTGTGTTCAAAAATAAAGATACGCCGGACGGACAGAGGTCATCGCTGATCAAAAGGTTAAAATCAAATGTATTTAATAAAGGAGATGGCGTTGCGGTAAAAAGAACATCTCAGCTGAGGAGCCGCTGGTCTCAGCAACCAACAGGCCCCAGGTCAGTCCTTTTGACCATCCCTAGTGCCCATCTGTCGCCTCCACCAGCGAACTCGAGAACAATGGTTCCTCCAGGTATTTATAACAATGCTTAAAGGTGTGAAAGTTAGTGTCCACACCTCTGGGAGTGGTCTTCTGGTGAGTTCAATGTAACTCGGATTTCGAATGATCCTTAGTCAATATCAGTTGTTGTTCAAGTATTACATGCATGCATTCCAGTTGATTACATTACATCAAATACAATCATAACTGCATTGGTATTATTCTATTACAGTTGCAGAATTACAGTGGTTTTACAATATTGTCATTACTTTATTGATTACACAGTTTCAGAATCATGGCTGTATTCTGGTGTACACTATATGCATTTTTATTAATTTTATGAACCGGGTCGTATTTTTGTTTCTAATATCCTACAGTTCCTCACCCCTAACCTGCTCAAAGACCCAAGTGTATCACTACAGGGGGCATGTGGGGGTCGTGGTGCAAGTAGGACACAATAGTTTTACCGTGTATAGATTACTTTATAATTCTCTAATCACACGGATTGCACGGAGAAGGGCTGGGCAGAATCAAAGCAATGAAACAAACAAAAATACACAGGCTAGTTCCTATATATAGTGCCGTAGCTTTGGCACGCTAACCAAAAATACAGGTGGTGGTCTGCCCAGGTCTAGCTAGTGTTCCTAGACAGAGACTCACTGCGGGTGATGTATGCCCATGGGCCTCTAGTCTAGCCACAACGGCTCCCTTCCCCCTGGGATGAAAAAGGGAAAAGAAGAACACGGTTGTTAGCAAACAAAACGGATGTAATAATAATGAAAACAGATCTCAAAAACTAAAACACCCACAGAACAGTCAATCCACCCCAATTCAAAACAAATGTCTGACCATACAGTATCACCCATGTGGCGCCAGCACCTGGGGCCTGAAGACTGTGGCCTTTTGAGCTACAGCCAGGTGCAGCCACTAACGATTCTGAGGTCCTCAGCCAATCAGTGGGGGGGGGGGGGGGGGGGGGGGGGGTAAATCCTGTCAATTTGAGAGAAGGGAGATGCACACACACACAAGCAACCTCAACAAAAATGCACATACACACATACAAGGCCCTGCTGGGGAACACAGGGCCATAACATACGAGTTCTTGAGACACTCACAATATGCACTCAACAAATTCTCCCCCGACAATGGCCACCCAGACGTCATATAAAGCTGACAGTGATGTGTGAGGCAACCACAGCCAGTGAAAAACCTCAGTGCACTGTGATATACAGTGTCCAGAGCTGCTAGGCTTTTGGACGAAGCACATATGTACAGCACATCTCCATAGTCAACTAAAGGTAACAAAGTTGACGACACAAGCAGTTTACGCGCTCTCAAAGAGAAACACAAGTGATTTCTCTAAAGGAAGCCAAGCCTAGGTCTTAGCTTTTTTTTTAGCAAGTTTTCAATATGTAATTTAAAAGAGAGCTCCCTATCTAAAAGAACACCTAAGAATTTATAATTGGTGACAATCTCGATTGGGTTACCAATTTTGGGCAGTTTTTACAGAAGATATATTTTCATTTGAGTAAGGAACTTTTGAGACCACCATGATTTTTGATTTCTTGGCATTTAAAATCAATTTGAGATTTTGTAGACGGTCCTGCACAGCGTTAAAAGTAGATTGTAACAACTTAAATGCAAGCACAACCGAGGACGCACAACAATAAATAACAGTGTCGTCAGCATAAGTGATAAACTGGACAAGGCTTTGCACACCTCAGATGTGGACAAAGATTCAAAGTAAAATAAAGATTCAAAATAAAATAAATTCTGAGTGGGGCTATTTACAGCCTCATCCTT